TGATGCATACGTGACCATGTGTGATTTGCAACCTTCCTTGACAACCCACAAGCAAAGCCAGTGGGGGAAGGTAGCAAGTCGCTTGGGGAAGCTCACCCCATGCCCCCTTCTCTAGCCTCTGCATTCACAGCCACTTGCACCCGCTCTCCAAACATTGCTGTGCCCATACCATACCTGCCTAGCCACCCATGCACCCTCACTCATCTGGCATGAGCTCTCTCCACACCCAGCTGTACTCATGCTGCCCCTCCTCACCCCTCTGTGCACCCCTTGAGCCCTCTCCCACCCAGTGCCTCAGATAGAAAGTCCCCACAGAGAGTGGTGAGAACAGTGGAGAAGATTATAGGAAGTTCGCTTCCTGTCATTCAGGGTGCTGCTTATAAGCATTACGTGCTTAGAGCTCAAAGCCTTGTTAGAGACCCCACACACACCCCCTCACAGTCTGTTTCTGTTGCTCCCCTCTGGGAGGAGGTTTCGAAGTATTTCTAGCAGGGCTACCAGATCCTTGGAACTGCTTTGTTCCCTAAGCCGTCCGTCTGGCAGACTCGCAGGATTCGTTTCTCTCGCCATGTACATGTGTACATCTGAACTAGACTGTGTTGTTTCTCCATGTCCTATAATATATGTGGGTATGTGCACAATTTTGTATTTTGTCATGTTTATGTAGTGTATATTGGAGGTGGTGCCCCTTTGAGAGCGGAATGCGATGAAATTTTAATGTATGCCGATTAGTGCACATTCAAAGTGCACAATAAAATCATTCTAAGTCAATAGCCACTTGCCTGCCTGCTGGCCCACCACCTGGGACTTGCAACTTTCTGTTGGCTTCCTCGCTGACTTGGTTGTCGGAAGCTGGCTGGGAGTTACAAGGAGGTGCTCCCTCAATGATCCAAGGTTCCTCGCTTAACAACAATGATACTACAACATACGATGTCTCACATTTTGCCTACATTAGCAAGGGAAATTCCACACCCAATTGCTGTTGTAACTCAAGGACAGCTTGCAATCAAGAAGCTCCTTCCATTGCAGGTGGCCCTACTTCACTTTTGCCACTTGACACGCTGTTTAAGGAGGCCTGCTTAAAATTGCTGAACGTTTATTGGCTAACCAGCAAACCTGGCGTGCCTGATTTTTTACTCCTACAGGAAGCCAGCTGAGAGTAAGTCAGATCACAAGGTAATTAACTAGCCCCTGAGAAGTGCTCCAGGCAGCAAGGGGAAGAATGAGGCAATCTCTAATTGAACGCTGGCTTCATTTCAAGGCTGTTGAAATGTGTGCAGAGAACTGTTTCAGCTCCTGTGGCTCCTCTAACACAATAAGAGAGATAAAATAAAAGAGAGCCGGTTTGTTCTAGTGGCGAAGATGCCAAGCTAAAAACGAGGAAACATTTGAGTTCTAGTCCCACCTTAGCCATGAAAGCTGGCTGGGTGACTTTGGGCCAATCACCAGGAGATGGTGAGTTCTAGTCCTGCAAAAGCCAGCTGGGTGACTTTGAGCTAATCGCCAAGAAACTAAACAAGACAAAAACTGCCTAACGACATACAAACAAGTTACACAATTTAATGTAAAATTTAAGATAAGAATATTGAGGGGGAAGAGATGATTATTTAGCAGTATCTTAAATGCTGAAAGTGAGAGCCAGGTGCATCTCTCTAGGGAGTGTATATACCAGTGTGTCAAATCTCTGACAACGTGCGCGCAGTGGACATAAGTGTGAAAAATGGTCGTAAGTCACTTTTTTTCAATGCCATTGTAACTGAACAGTTGCTAAGTAAACTGCTGTAAGTCAAGGACTATCTGTATTTACGACCAGTGCAGTGTCTTGAGGTCACTTATTTGTAAACCACCTCAGCTGACCAGCACAGTCAATGGGGGAAGCCAGATTTTTCTTAATAACTGCATGATTCACTTAGCAACTGCAGTGATTCACATAACAACTCCGGTTGTAAAATGGGGCCCAACTCCACTCTTTCTTAGCAATGTGTTGGATTCTGTTCTGGCGTAAGTTGAGGACCCACCTGTACCTGGGTCAACCCACAGGCCTTCCTGCTCAGCTGGATTAAAATAAAAATAAGAGACTTTAGAGTAACTTTATTGCCATTTTGAATGGACACTAATCAGCGCACATTAAAATGAAATTTCGTTGCCTCCAGCTCTCAAAGGGTCACCACCTCCAATATACGCTACATAAAAACATGACAAAATAAATACAGGAGTAAATACAAAAGTATGCTTGTACTGCCATATGTGACACAGAGAAACAAACATGTACATGGGAGAGAAACGAATCTTGCGAGTTTGCCAGCAGATGTCATAGGCAGCAAAGCTGGTCCAGAATCTTGTAGTCCTGCTAGAAATACTTCGAAATCTCCTCCCAGAGGGGAGCAACGGAATCAGACCATGAAGTGGGTTGGGTGTGGGGTCTTTAACAATGCTTTGAGCTCTAAGCCCATAGCGCTTGTAAGCAGAATCCTGAATAACGGGAAGCGAACTTCCTGTGATCTTCTTGGCTGTCCTCACCACTCTCTGTAGGGGCTTTCTATCTGAGGCGCTGCTGCCACCAAACCAAACAGGGATGTAGTGCGTTAAAACGCTCTCCATAGTGCCTCTAAAAAGTGGCCAGGACAGGAGGAGAAAAGATGTGCTCTCTTTCTGAATGTACATTTCCCCCAAGAACAGGACATGACCTTTAGGACATAGAAGATTTACCCACCACCATCAGAGTAGCAAAAGACGCAAAGCTCACTACATTGCACGGCCCCCTGGAGCATCTCAAACACAAAACCTCAGAAGCCTATAAAGGTCCGTCCATCCATTTTGTCAGCTGTTCCTTCCAGCTCTAAGCTCCGTAATGCTTGTGAGCCGCATGCTGCATGGCAGGAAGCGAGATTGTGTCATTTTTGTACAAGAAAGGGCGACTTTTTCTTTTTTCCCCCCACTCTTGTGCGATCAAATCTCCTATCTCTAGTTCGGAGCGGAGCCCCTCTCCTATACTCGCTTCAGTTTGGCCCGGCAGCCGGACGGGGACAGCAGCCGTGTGGAAATGAAACTCTCGGCCGAGGAAGAGGAGGCGGGGGAGAACGGCATGATCGACCATCTGCCCCCCAGGAAAGCCAAATCCAGAAGGCATCGGCACCTGTGCTGCGTGTGTGGCGGGGTGGCCCTCCTGTTTCTAATAGGTAAGTTGAGCAGAGCCGCGATTGGCTGCTGAGAAACATGAGCGGAGAGGGTCACGTGGTCGCCTCTCGCAACCTTCTGGCGAGCGAAGTCAACGGGTGGAAGCCAGGTTCATTTAACAAACAGCCGTGTTAACAACTGCGGTGATTCACTTACCTGTGGCCAGAAACTTTGCAAAATTGGGCCATACTCACTTAAAGGCACGGGGTCTCACTTAGCAACAGACATGTTGGGGGTCAGTTGTGGCATACCATCGAGGGCTACCTGTACTGCCCTGCCAACTTTTTAAAATAATCATGGAGTTTTCTCAATAGCGTTGTGTTTGTTCTTAGGTAGGTTATTGTTACATAAATGGCATTTACATTTGCTGTTTTTAAAGAAGAAGTTGAGAGTAAGTGAACTGCATGGAAAGAAGTTGGAAATCGCTGCTTTTTATTTCTTTTTTTTCCCTCATGCTATCCCCTTTCCCCTTATTTTCCATTGCCTTTATTTTCATTTGTATTTTATATTAAGACAAAAACATACATCTTTTCCAAAACGTCTGTCAGGCAACCAGGTCATGGATGTCGATATGGTAGCCCCCCCCCCCCCCCCTCCAAAAGGCAACTGGACTTCCTTGGTTTTTTTTCCCCCTGGAAAATGTTTCCCTTTTCATCCAAGAAGCTTCTTCACTTCCAACTTCAGAAGAAGCTTCTTGGACGAGAAGCGAAAGGGATTCCAAGACAAAAATTAAGCAAGTCCCAATTGCCTTGGGATCTTTCCACCCACGCAGCTGTGTGCGAATTGTGCTGTCCTTTCCGATGTGACGCCTTCACCCGTTCAACCCTGGTGTCTTCCATCTGCTCACCTTTTGCAGGATTTTTGTTTGGCTACATAAGTTTCCGTGCCCGGATGCCACCAGTGCCAGAGTGTAGCAATGGCGCAGCATCACCGAAAGTCTTCACTCCATCTGAATACTCCGAAGCCAACAATCCCGCGTCCGATCCAGTGCTCTATTGGGGAGACCTGAAGAAATTACTGGCCGATCGGCTAGGCAAGGCCAACTTCCAAGAGACAATCTGGTAAGGATTTCCTGATAGTCCCTTCTGATATAGAAGAAAGTGTTAACATGTGGACAGCTGTGGGTCTGGCTACGTTGGATGCAGGGTAACAGTTGGAAGGGACCTTGAAGGTCTTCTAGTCCAACCTTATACCTTTTCTGACAAATGTTTGTCCAATCTCTTCTTAAAAACATCCAGTGATGGGGCACCTACAACTTCTGAAGTTCAGTGATTAATTGTTCTCACTCTCAGGAAATTCCTCCTTAGTTCCAGGTTGCTTCTCTCCTGGATTAGTTTCCATCTGTTGCTTCTTGTCCTGCCTTTGGATACTTTGGAGAAGAGGTTGACCCCCCCTCTTCTTTCAGGCAGCCCCTCAAATACTGGAAGACTGCTGTCATGTCATCCGTAGTCGTCCTTTTCATTAAACTAGACAAACCTAATTCCTGCAATTGTTCTTCATATATTTTAGCTTTCAGTCCCCTAATCTTCTTCGTTGCTCTTCTGTGCACTATTTCTAGAATCTCAGTATTTTTTTTTAATATCGTGGAGACCAAAAACGGATGCAATAACCCCCAAGTGGGGTCTTATTAAGTCTTTAGCAATAGCAACAGCAATACCACTTAGACTTATATACCGCTTCACGGTGCTTTACAGCCCTCTCTCTGAGCAGTTTGCAGAGCCATCCCCCCAATAATCTTGAGTCCTCATTTTACCCACCTTGGAAGGATGGAAGGCTGAGTCAACCTGGAGCTGGTCAGGATCGAACTGCTGGCAGCCGGCAGTTAGTAGAAGTCGCCTGCAGTACTGCATTGTAATCACGGCACCATCACTTTATAAAGTCGATTTAAGAGTTTGTGTGAAGACAGTGGTCTGATAGAACTTCTGACTTTTGATGCCTTTGCTTCTCTCACAGGAATGTGTCCTCCAAAAATCACGAAGCCGGCAGTGTACGGGACGAGGTTCTGGCCTATGACATCCACAAGCGGTTTGTGTCTTACAACTTGGATAAAGTCTGGGATGATGAGCATTATGTCCGTCTCCAAACCAGGTAGGAAGTTTGGCTCAAAATCTCCACAGGGAGTGGGCGGGTGGGTGGAGGTGTCCTCTCTTCAACCGGCTCCACTCGCACTCGGGAAGGTTGCCGTTTGGGCTCCTGATCGGTCAAGTCTCGTGAAAAAAGATCACTTAGAAAAGAAAGCCAGTTTGGTCTAGTGGTTAAGGTACCAGGCTAGAAAGCAAAGAATTGTGAGTTCTAGTCCTGTCTTAGTCAGGAAAGCCAGCTGGGTGACTTTGGTTCAATCACCAGGAGACTGAATTCTAGTCCTGCCTTAGCCGCAAAAGCCTGCTGGGTGACTGGGCCAATCACCAGGAGACAGGGAGTTGTAGTCCCACCTTAGGTACAAAAGATGGCTGGGTGGCTTTGGGCCAATCACCAGGAGACAGACGGAGAGTTCTAGTCCTGCCTTAGCCACAAAAGCTGGCTGGGTGACTTTGGGCCAATCACCAGGAGACGGAGAGTTCTAGTCCTGCCTTAGGCATGAAAGCCGGCTGGGTGACTTTGGGCCAATCACCAGGAGACAGGAATTTCTACTTCAACTTTAGCTGGGAAAACCAGCCAAATGACTCCAAGGCTTGTTTCCCTCTCGACCCAGCTCTCCTCACAGGGTGGTTGTTGTGGACAAAATAGGAGGAGGAAGTTGTATTGGATATGTTCGCCTCCTGAGTTGTTTGTAAAAACAGTTAAGGACAGGATATAAGCAAACAAGGCACATGCTTCCTCTATATTGCTCTTTAAGGGTACACCTATAGGAAATCACACTGTGTCTGGGGTATTATTGGGAGCTGGTCCAGGTGCCCAGCTGCTATTGATAGTGTCGCAGCTGGGCCACAGTTACATGATCACAACTGCTGACTTCCCTGCCGGCTTCCCGTAGTCAAAAGTCCTTGGGGAAGTTGGCACAAGGTATGCTCGCTTAATGACCCACGTGGTCCTTGCTTAAGGATGGCAATTGGAATGGCTGTCGATAAACCATCCGGTCATGTGACATTGCAATTTACGACCAAATTGCTGTAATCGCTGGCTGCTTATGCTCTTGGGGTTTTTTCTCTTTTTTTTGGTGGGGGGGGGAGTTTCATTTCTTTTACGTAGCTTTTTAATTTCTGTCAGCCACCCAGAATTACGTATTTTAGATAGGCAGCCTTGGAAATTGAAATAGATTTTTTAAAAAAAAATGCCACAAGGTAACCTGCAGTAATGACCACAATAGCAATAAGACTTATATACCTCTTTATAGTGCTTTCCAGCCCTCTCTGAGCGGTTTACAGAGCCAGCTTCTTGCCCCCAATAATCTGGGTCCTCATTTCACCCACCTAGGAAGGAAAGAAGGCTGAGTCAACCTTGAGCCTGGTGGGATTCGAACTGCCAAATTGCAGACAGACGGCTGCAGCAGAAGTCGCTTGTAGTACTGCACTCTAACCACTGTGCCACTGAGGCTCTTATATCTTATACAATACTATTTTTTAGGTCTTCAAATGTAGTTTCTTTGGAAAATACTGGAAACACAATTCTGGAGAGTCCCAGTGTTTTCGTAGCCTACGGTGAAAACGGCCAGGTTTCGGTAAGTCTATCCTAGAGCTTCAGTGGCTTTATTCTTCCCAACCGGACACCATCAAAGAAGATTTAGGAAAAACAACATAAACCGTAAAATACAAACAATGTTATAGTCATAAGAAGTGAAGCAAATACCGTATTTTTCGGAGTATAAGACACCCTTTTCCCCCCGCTAAAAGAGGGTGAAAATTTGGGTGCGTCTTATACACCGAACGTAGC